GAACAACTTTAATGAATAATTGAATGAGTAGTGAGACTGATGCCTATACCCTGATCTGAAGGATCAAAGCTTATGGACACACGGCCTGCCCAAAAGTATCATCAGACTTTGACATGGTTTCCCAGTTAAGATCCGTCAAAAAAGTATGTTTTCAACACGTCATTACCATTTATCATCCTCAACTAACACAAATAGACGAGCAGCAACAACGAACTTAGAAAAAAAAAAAATCAAAAACCAATCGAAATAGTTCATGTAAGAAGAGACAATATCTCTTCTCATCCCCATAAAAAGCCGAGAATCTTCCAAAGCCTGCTACAAGCAAAAAGATATAGGAACACCAAATTAAGATATTACCAAACATTAAGAACAAATTCTTCACACCTTTTGTAGACTTCTCCAAATGTACCACCCCACAACCGTTTCCGAAACAAACCCTCAGCACACTGGTGACCCTCCCAAAGCTCGAGGCCCCCGGTAACGATCCCCGGCACGAAGACCACCGGATGCTTCGCGGTCAGCCCTTCTTTCTTCAGTTTCAGACCAGGTGGGTCCGGCAACGGTCCAGTTATCGCCTCCGTCACATACTGAGGAAACGAAGCGGGCATAGCTTTGTATAGAAACAGCAATAACCACCATACAGAACAAATGCAACCTATGAACCAACAACAACTATCCGTACAAGACCATTTGCTCTTCTTCTCCGCCTTCTTGCTCTGCTTCGCCGCTCCCTTCTTTTTATCATCTTCTTGTTCTTCTGTCCCTTCGCTCTGAATCTTCAACTCTGTAGTCGAAGTCTTATCGGCTTCTCCGCCTTTTCTCCGTCGAATTAGGGACATTCTGAGTGACAGTAATTACTTTATTCCACTTTTCTACGCACCACAGTCCCGGTATGCTCTAGAAGATAATCAGTTTTCGCACACTCTTTTTCAGAAGTTCGTAGATATTTGAATAGAAAAAAGTGTATCTCCTCCTTGAGCTAACATTAAGAATCACGCTGCCACCTTGATGAGCTGAGGAAAACGGTTTTTCTTTTCCGAAGAATACAATTTACATAACAGTCATGTGATTATTGGTGAAAGAACTAAAACAACAGAAGAGAACAGGAAAATGATGATGACTTGATGAAGCTGCTATCTTTTTCTTTTTTGTGTCTTTCTCTTCCATTAGATTTTCCAGGGAATCTGACAGAAACTTATCACGATTTTGCGGAGGAGTGGCTATTGGCGGGGCCTCGGGGTGGTGTCCCACTTCAGGGAATTATTTGGGGATTGGCTCTGATAGCGGGTCCCACATAACATAAATAAATTAATAAATAGTATTAAATATAAAAGAGTTTCAGTACATGGCAGAATCTGATCGGCTCTAATTCAGGCAGAAAATCTGTTTGGATTAGGAATTCACAGAGTAAGTCATCGTAATTTAACTTTTAAAAAAGTAAAGTTAAGTAAAAGTTAAAGGGAATGATACAAATTATGTTTGATTAAATTTTATAAAAGTTAATTGGTAAATGTTAGATTGGATAAAAAATTGTTTCGGTTATGATTGAATAAAAGTAAATTTAGTTTGTATAATTATTAAAATAGGTTTGAGTTTTATTAAATAATAAAATAATAAATTTTACATAATACAATAAATTAAAATTAGTTTTTGTTTTCAAAACCTGTGGCACTTTCAAACATGATTTTTTTTAAATTATTATCCAAACAAATTCTTTTATTTTTGTTTTCAAAACTTGTTTTAAGAAACAATTTTATAAAATTGTTCTAAGAACAAGAAAACAAAGAATGAAAACAAACAGGTCCTATATGACTCTATAATAGTTAAAATTTTTAAATTCATCGTTTGTGAGCAGAAAGTGCCACAATTTTATTATATTTTTAAAATAATTAAGTAATGTGTGACCTGGGCACTTGGCATCCGATGTTTGAATTATGAAATTGTCTTTTCCCCTGCCAACATATAAAATTATCCCGATATCTATGAAATACTTATTTCATCCTAAATATAAAATTTTTTATAGTATAAATTATACTATAAAACTAGTCTTATATTTAAAATCCAGAGTATAAATCAAAACTACGCCAACCTCTTTTTTGTCAATGGAAGAAGGAATATGGAATGGCAGGTGTAATTAATTATTTATAACGAATCAGTTGGAAAGAGGGGCCAGGTGCCTTTAAAGTTTAAATTGATCAACGCGGACCTCTCTCTGGTGGAGACCATATGAAAACAGAATTGGTTAATTTTTCACATGTCTTTTGTCGTCTTCCAACTTTTAATTTCAATATTACCTTCTCCTCTTGTTTTTAAAAAAGTTTTATTTGATTTTTATTTTGGTTTTAAATATAAAATTTCAATTCATTTTGTCTCTCATATATATATATTTTTAAAGTAGTTTTTCTAAAAATAATGATTCTAGTCAAATACACTTGATTAGCAATGATATTTTAGAAAATAAAATATCTATTTATTACAAGTAATTAATTTAACTTATTTTTTTAATTTATTCAAATTAGTCAACTATTTTTTTATATTTTAGACTGGAGGTAGAAAAGAATAAAATAATATAAAATAAAACATCTCAAACATATAAATATTAAAACATTATTTTTTTTGAAATGATCCAACTATTAGGGTGTTTGCTTACTCTTAAAAGCATTTTTAAAATATACTTTCATATAGATAGATTATGACAAAACTCTTTTCATATATTTAGAAGATGTTTGGATAAAAACAAATTATGGTTTTAAAAGTGATTTTACGATACAAAATAGATATATGAAAGAGTTTGTTTTGATTTACGAAAAAGTGTTTTTTAAAATCACTTTTGGAATGTTTCAAACACTTTTTTACTTTGTACTCTGTCATAAAATCATTTTTAAAATTTTGATTTAGTTTTGGTTCAAAAACTCTCTTAAGCATGCCAGAGTAAATTTGACCTCAATTAAAATGAGATGATTCAAGATAATAATATACAAAATGAGAGTGATTTTTTGCTGGTTCCCTAAAAAAGAGTTATAATTTAAAAACATAAGCTTAAAATTTAAAATCTAAACCATAAAAGCCAAAGTAATCTAAGAGAAATGCTTGAAATTTGAAAGGATATCATGATTCTTTTTTTTTTCTTTTATTTTTTTCAAGTCTAATTATTTATTTTAGGGAAAATTGGGGGATAAATCCTTCATCAAAAATTTATTTGGGAAATAAAACCTAGGATAATTGATTGCACAAGGGAATATTAATTGCACAAAAAAAAAATATGTTACACAAAAAGAAGATAGCTTGCATAGAACATTATTAGATATAAAGAATTCGTTTGCATATTGGGAAGATGATCTACACATAAAAGAATTTTATTTACACAAAGAAAAATTGTGTTGCACATCCCATAAAAGAAGATCACTGCACACAAGGAAAGATAAATTGCACATAAAGAAAGTTAAGTTGCATATATTAAAAGTTAAGTTTGTACTAAATCTTTAAGTCTTATTTGTCAATTAAATTTTTAATGAGGGATTTATCTCTAATTTTTTCTTTATTTTATGTTCTACATCATTTATTTGTATGTACTTAAAACACAAAAGAAAAAACAAACCCCCTTCTTTTAATAGGCTGCCCAGTCACTGCAACTACTAGAGGACCCAATCGAGTAAATGTCTATCTGTACTGTACGGCTCTCCACCACTTCCATTAACCAACCAGTCAGGTCTTGTATACATTCCTACCTAACATTAAAATCAAAATTCTTTTGAATTACTCATTATTTTCATATTATTTATCATCATTAAATCAATAAAAGCATAATCATATTGTACATGATTAAATTTCGTATAATACTCTCTTCTTTTCTTGTAAAAAATATAATCAGGCTAATAGCCCAACCAAATAGAAACAAGCTAGTGGGTTGGATTTTTATTAAGTAATTAGGATACTGGATTGTTGATTAGTAATTTGGGGGGTACTCCTAATTAACTGAGACAAGCATTGCTCACTCTTGGTGTGTACTTCTCGTACAAACATAGCCTTTAAGCAATGTATTAATCATTAGTTTGCTTTATACTCTCCCATTAATTACTCTTCCAAAGTCCATAATTTAAATTTAGTACTTGTATGTGAACCACAATAATGGGTGCTTTTCAGATTTCATGCAACTTTGCATATTTATGCTGTCAATCCATATGTAATACTCTTTGATTACTAAAATGCATTTACACTCCTTTTTATTTTATAGTAATATTATTAGTATATATATGATGAGAAAACATTTATAATTTAATTACGTTAAACAATTCATAATACTATTTATCAAATCCAGTGTGTATGTCTATATTATTAAGACTATCACCAAGACACCTGATAATCAAAAAGCTTAAAAGGGGATGAAAAATTAGTAGGATTTAGATTCTTCAAAGTCAAGCCTCTAAAATTTGTGAAATTGGTTGTAAAGTATTAATACTCATAGTTCAATTTTACTAAATAGACTTTCTATTTTAGAGTATCTGATGTCATGAACGTGTTTTATTATTGTTCTAGTATGAGCCTAAACCAAGAGGCCGCTTATGAGAAACTGGTTAGAGGCATTATCAATTAGGCCTATAAGGAGTTTTCAGGCGGGAAAAAAGGATAATCATTGTTTTTGGGAGTCAGTTTATTACGCATTCACTTCATATTTGGTGTTAAAAAGAGTAGTTAGCAACAAATATACACACAAAGATATTAAATTTACACTTTTACGTGGATAATGCAAATAGGTGGTGTTTTTTTCAATATTCCGTCGTTTTGCCCCATGAACAAAAGTTCCCAATTCATCAGGAAAACAACAGAAGCCTAATAAAAAGGAAAAATATTATGAGAGAGCAAGAGAGACAGAGTTTGATATGGATTAAGCAATGACTAATAAGAAAGTTACTTGCATGAGGGTCTTGGTTTCATTGTAGGAACGAGTTTGAGATGAAACGGAAGCTCCATATAACAGAGTTGGTGGTGAAGAAGGGATTTCAGCTGATGTTAATTGTCATGAAAAGAGCCTTCAATTCATCAATATCATGACATGTGTCGGTATGGGAATCATAGTCAATCTTGAGCTTCTTCAACTGAATAAGTGGCTGTTGTTCATCAACATCTCGAGGCCTCTTCTTATTCTTCACCATTTCCATTTGTGGAGAGAATTTCTGACATTCTGAGACATATAATGGACATACGCCACATTCTTTGATACCAACTACCTCGTTGATGTTACCAACCTCGTACCCAAAACGAGGTTCTACGCTGAATTCAAAGCAAAGCTTTATGTCAGTGACTGACTCTTCATTTCCTCGTCTTTCAATCGCCTTCAATATCTCACCAGAGCCAAACTCATTATTCCATATGTACACATGATCAGAGTTCATATTTGGGAGAAACAGATTATTGTACGGTAAATTTGCCACATTAAAACCTCCCAAGTAGCACGCACAGTTCAGGGCAACATAACATGATTTCTTTGAGTGAAACTGAAGAACAACGCAGAGAGAAAATCCCAACAAGTCTGAATTATGAGGGCCTTCAATTATGACGGAGCCTTTTTCTGTTCGATATCTGAACCACTCAGGTACTACACTTCCATGAAAGCAAATCAAACTACGAGCACCTTTAGCCTTTCTTTCTTGTTGAAACCTGCAAGCAGCTGCATTGATTATAGAATAGGCGTCTTCTATGATACCATGAAGTGATTGTTCATTCAGTTTCACGCAATTCATAAATGAGAAGTATTTTTCACTCCTGTGCAGTGGTCTAAAGGTTGACACTATCTCTAATGACATGCAGTTGTAGGCATCTAAGGTTGCAATGGATGGTGGAAGTTTTGGTAAAGAACGAAGCTTCCTGCAGTTCGATAAGAAGAGACATTCCAACCTTAAAAGATGTTCTGTGTTGTTGGGAAGTTCAGTTATGTGACTACAATCTGTCAAATATACTACAGTTAGAGACAACATGCCCCCAAATAACATATGTAGCATCGAATTATCAAGCAGTTCACAATTAGGAAGCCTGAGCATTGTCAATGTTCTCAAGCACGATAACTGCTTTGGAATTTTCTTCAGTCTTAAGCCAAACAGATCCAGCACTTCCAGATTACTTGAATGCCCTATGGACGAGTGCAAATTTTCGATTCCTGTGTGACACAGATTCAACTCCTTTATTTTTTCTGATGACACTGAAAATTCCTTGAGACTGATGCACTCATCCACTCGAATGTATTGTAGAGATTTTAAATGAAACTCAGTTTTCAGATTCCTCAGTCTCTTGCACCGGCATAAGTCCAATTCAACAAGCGAGTGGAGAGACAAAATAGAAGAATGAACATATTGCAAACTTTCACAATCAACAAGAGATACTACTTTAAGATTTAAGGCTTTAGAGAAATTTGGCAGCTCCTTCAACCGTTTGCATCCGCTAAGGTTTATCTCTTCTAAATTCACGAGATCCTATAACAATAGAGACAGAAAATAAAATGAGAACCATCAAGTAAATGAAAAGCATGAGCACAAATATATATATATATATATATATATGTTTATATATACCTGAATTCCATTCCAAAGCTTTTGAACGTGGCTATTTGGCATGTGAAGCTCAACCAGATTTTCAGGACGAAAAGTTGGTGGCAGAGATTTAAGTGGGTATCCATACCACTCTAGATACTTTATTTTGCTAGGAAAAACTCAAGAACTTTTGGTAAATATACATGACTTGAGCGATGGTTTAAATCAGAATAAAATTTAAGAAATCGCAGATTAGACATCCTTTTGAAAGTGTCGGCGTTCAAATGTATATCTTTGATTCGAGACACATCTAACATTATGCCTTCAAGTTTATCAGTCCCCTAAAAGCCAAACCAAGAATGATAGTAAGTATAGCATATAATAGATGCATATTCTTTATAAAGGTACAAGTATATATTAGGACGCAAGCATGTTTCTCTTAATTACCTTGTTATTAGCCAAAACATCATAGATTTCTTCACAATCCCATAATCGACTCCGTCTTCCTGGTTCATTGATAGATTCTTCACGAACAATTTCCCACCCCATTTCTTGTATCAAATCATGCATCTCTACAGGCATGTGATCATTTGCATTTATGAGAGCCTTATCATGAAGTGTTCTTATGCCAATAGCTCCAAAGAAGTTGTAGCAATCCAATAGGCTGATCACATGTTCTTTCAACATTCCCTTCAAAAAGCATGCAATCTCTAGAAATATGTTCTTTTCTTCATGATTCAGTCCATCATAACTCAATCTCAACACTCTTTGAATGTTTTCATGGGGAGTCTTCTCAAGTTTTCTCAATGCACTATTCCATTCAACCTCACTTTTGCCACGGAGATATGAACCCAAAACTTTTAAAGCCAATGGAATTCCTTTTGCATAAGCAACTGCCCTTTTTGTTAGTTCTTCATATCCCGTTATCGGCAGGCTAGTGTTGAGGGCATTCAAGCTGAAAAGTTTAAGGGATTGGTGGAAGTCCAATTCCTTAACCTTATATATTTCATCAACTCCTTTGCTAAGCACATGCTTGTCCCTAGTTGTGATGAGAATTTTACTTCCTAGCCCAAAGCAAAATGGTTCTCCCACCAAATATTCTAATTGCTCCACAGTACTGATATCGTCAAGAACAACAAAAACTTTCATACGACTAAGTCTAGATAGAACAAAAGTTGTTAAAGGATCAGTACAAGTATCTTCTTCCTTTAATAAACAGGAGATAAACTTATAACGTAATTCAGCAAGTCCATTTTCGGACTTTTCTCTTACATTTTCCAAGAAGCAAGAGCCTTCATAATGGGAAGAGTATTTGACAAATATAGTTTTGGCAACGGTTGATTTGCCAATACCCCCCATGCCCCAAATTCCAATGGTTTCAAAATCTCTTAACAATAATTCAATCTCCCTGCACTTTTCATCAATACCGACAAGTGCTTTCAAATCAGCAGGTGGATATTTGTGACTCAACTTCTGCAATATGTCTTTGACAGTCTTTTGAATCAGTTCAGATTCATCCCTAACATACGGAAAATAAAAAGGACAATGGTAGAGCACAATTAAACAAAAAAATTGGTTTGTCAGAGATGAAAATAGTAAATAGAGGATAAATTAAATAGTATACATGTATCAGGAACACATATTTATCAGAAAATGATCAAGATGTCTTAATTGCTTGATCCATCACGTAAATCATTGCTAACGCCATCATTTGTGAGTAGAAGAAAATTAAAGAATTTATTACCTGAATGTGTGTGAGTCATAACCAGCTAAGTTTGCAGCTTCATTGAGCGCATGCTTCCACATTTGCACCTTGTGTTGGTTGACCTTGACGTCTCTCTCATAGGTCTCAAATGCTTGCTTGTAAAGGCCAGTCTGATTTCTCACATGAGAGGGCTCAACTTTATAAAATACTGGAATAACAATCTGTTCTTGAACCCTTTTGCAATGAAGTATGTGGGTGAGTTCATCCAAGCACCATCTAGAAGAAGCATAATTTTCTGAGAATACCACAACAGAGGCGTAGGAATCCTTGATTGCTTGCGTAAGTGCAGCTGAGATCTCATCTCCTTTGGGAAGTTTGGAGTCTATGTATGTTCTTATTTTCTTCCTGCAGAAAGCTTCATAAAGATGGCTCGTGAAGTTGGCACGAGTGTCTTCACCCCTAAAGCTGATAAAAACATCATATTTCTTGAGGGAAAATTTAGCAGAGGCAGAGGATGAAGCAGCATCAGGGGCCATGTCCTGGTGAGCTGGATGAGAACAGTAGTGTAATGAGAAGTGTGTTAGAAAAGCGGATGTGGATGGGCGAGAGGAAGATCAGGAGCTTCATATACGCATGCGCACACAAGCAGAAGGAACGGCGCATGCGGTTCTGTTTTTGTAAATTCCATGGTGGTGGGAACCAATTCTTTATTTACGGGATAAATAAATAAATGAAGTACTACCTCCGGTCCTAATTACAAGATAAGATATACGAACGAGGTCTTATAATTAAGATTGGAGGTAGTATTAACATAAGATAATAGAACAGCCTTGTTGTAGCCAGCAGACAAATTGACGATATAATAACAAAATACTCAGATTCCTTTTGTTGTTACTCAGTTGTTCTCCAATTCGTGCATATCAATTAAGGTTGAGCCTCGCCTGCTTTAAACTTTTGGCATGTTACAGAAGCTTAAAACTGCCATCACCTCTGTTAGTGCGTGTTCCACCAAAATGTCCAAGAATTAACAATCAATTCAAGCTTTGAGTGTTGGAATTGAACTTGATACCACTCATCCAATTCTAAATTTTAAATATTTAAAAGACAGACTTAAGTTCAAGTTTTGAGATTGGTTTGTTATGAAGTGTCAATTAAAAAAATGACAGAGATGTGCTTTCTAACAAATAACATGGGTCTTGAGATAGTTCTTTTTACATGTAGTTTCCTTAAAAGAACTAGTATGATGCGCAATAAAAAAAATAAAATAAAATTGAGAGATAACAATTTTATTGAAATAAGTTCTATTCTTTTGACAATTTACGATTAACATTCAACATGTTTGCTCATGAGGAAGTTGTACAATACACACAACCAAGTCTTACCCATCCAGAGGTAAAAGGTCCTCGTTTGCTCGTAAGCAAATCCAAACTTTCCCTTAGGGAGTCCTAGATCACGTTTGAGGAAAACCAGCGTTGCTGAAAACCAAGGCCTCGCTTGCCTGGTAGTGGGTTCAGCATTGCCACTGAGCATTAAAAATATATATGTTTATCAGAAAATGATTGAGATTTCCTAATTACTTGATCCATCAGTGAACGCCATCATTTGTGAATAGTAGAATGTGAATGAATTTATTACCTGCATGTGTGAGAGTCGTCACCAGCTAAGTTTGCAGCTTCGTTGAGAGCTTGCTTCCAGATTTGCATCTTATGCTGGTTGTCCTTGAGATCTCTCTCAAATTTCTCAAAGGCTTGCTCGTAAAGCCTAATCTGATTGCGTACATGAGATGGCTCAACCATATAGAAGACAGGAATAACGATCTGCCCATTAACTTCCGAGTACAATCTCAAAGAAGCATAATTTTCGGGGAATGCTAGCACAGATATATATGAATCCTCGATTGCTCGCAGAAGTGATGGTGAGATCTCATGTCCTTTTGGGGGCTGGCAGTCTATATTGGTGGCTAGTGAAGTTGGAGCCAGCGTCCCCACCCCTAAAGATGATGAAATCATCATACTTTTTCGGGGACGGATGGAGCAGAGGAAGAGGATGAAGCAGCATTAATGGCCATATCTATTTGATCAAGAAGCAAGGAAAGAACTGTATGTGTTGCATTGAGAAGTGTGAACCAGAGCTGGAAGTGCACAAAGGAGTATTATAGGCTTCACATAGTGGAAGAAGGAGCTCGCTCGGGAGTCCTCTGTGCAATATTTGATGGATACTATCTTACATTCACGCTCTCTGAGAGCGTCGAAGTTTCCAAAATGACTAACAATGAAAGTGAAAGTGGGAGCCCATACAGTTTAGCTTCATGACTTTGACCTGGGACTTGGGAGTCTCTCTGACACCAAAAACAATGACTTATGGGTTATACGGTACAAACTTGTGGCTCAGTAGCTAACCTTATCGCTTGTCGAACTTGTGGCTTGATGGTGAAAGTGATTTGCTTCCCCCTCCCAAACCACAAGTTCGAATGCATCCTCTCTCTCCCACACACAAAGCTAACCTTATCGTCTCCCTCTCAATGGTGTATGCTCCTGTTTCAGTATACGGATCACTGAAAAAACGATAAGGGGGAAAATCAAAGAAAATCAGATCGAAAATTGTGCTAAGGAGATGCTTGTGGGCACGTCCGCTCCCATCGTTTCTCGCTCTGCTGTTCTTCCTTGTAGATTTTGGTTCCAATCAGGTCCGACAGACTTCAAATTAGTGGGCCTCAACAAACATTATCATTCTATCAAGAACCCATCATCCAAGTTTGCGAGCGTCAGATGGAACAGAAAGGCCAACAGTAACCGATCTGCAATGGAAACTTTCACGACGCGCGCATCAGCTCAACCATTAAAGAACGCTGATGAGCTCATTGATTCCGTCGAGACTTTTATCTTCGACTGTGACGGTACAGTACTTCCACATGTCCAAATTTGAAACCGATTAAATCTCTCCATCCCTATAATCTTAACGGCATCAATTTTGTATTGATGCAGCATTTCTTTCTTATCACACATTCCTTTTTAACATCATTCGCAGGAGTTATATGGAAAGGAGATAGCTTAATTGAAGGAGTCCCAGAAACTCTTGACATGCTTCGGGCAAAGGTTTGTTACTGCTTAGTATTGCAGCCAGTTACTTGCATTTGTAAATTGTAAGCAACTGGTGTTCTTTGATCCTTTGAATTTTTTTATTTTGGGGATTTTCCGCCCGTCTTAGCTTGCTTCGGTTTATGATAGCATCAAAATTTGAGATTTCGGTGTTTACAACTGTTGGTAAACTTCTGTAGGGCAAAAGATTAGTTTTTGTTACTAACAACTCTACTAAGTCAAGGAAACAATACGGAAAGAAGTTTGAGACTCTTGGCCTGAATGTTAATGAGGTCAGTCCACAGTTTTCGCTCTTCACTTTCTCGATTGGCACAAAGATCAATGATTATAACCTTTAATTCCTGAATCGCTTCAGGAGGAAATTTTTGCATCATCTTTTGCAGCTGCTGCATATTTGAAATCCATTAATTTCCCGAAAGATAAAAAGGTACGACCTATCGTTTTAGTTCGCGGTCGACCTGAAATTAATATTCTATTTAATTGCTATTCCAAGGGCTAGATGCCCATCTCACCTGAAAAGCAGAATCAGTTTGAAATAGGAACTTCCATGTATTTCATGTTCATGAATGCTCTTAGTTGTATGTTTGGGCTACTTGTTCTGCAGTAGATCCTTTGTATTTATTTGTGTTTAAACCTAAAACGCAACTTCCATTACCTTGATATCCGTGTGCAATGAATATGTTGAGCAATATTACTGAACAGTATCACTTTTTGTGCCTGTATCTCTCGCAATCCTAACTATCCTTTGCCCCGATGTATGTTGGTGAATGCAAAAGGACTGATCATCGAGTTTTATTTAGGTTTATGTCATTGGAGAAGATGGCATCTTGAAGGAGCTTGAGCTTGCTGGGTATCAGTACCTTGGTGGGCCGGTATGATTTCAGTTCTGTTACACGAAAGCCATACTGGTTGTTTCTTTCTATGCTTTCAAATTTGTGTGAATCACGCAAAAGATTTACTTATTTTTGTTGTTGTTGTTGCTATTTACTACTAAATTACTACTACTATTTAAAATCAAGTTTAACTGATATGCACAGCATATTATAGTTTAGGGTTTCGGTGGAGTGTATTCAAGGTTTAAGAACTGGTGGTTACTTTACAATTACAATCTAATAAAATGTGAGAGCATTAAGAATTAAAGGAGAAATAAGCTAATGCAACGTATAGATGTATACATTTTAACTACAGAAAACATTTTAATTTCATCTAGAATTTTATGGCTATGCTTGATGTCTAAGGTCATATTTCCCAACAGTTCAGGACAGTATGTGCAAATCTATTGTAGCCCTGATGCTTGTATTCAAAATTTGACAAGGGACTCACATTTTATTAGGATTTTGATAGTTATGTCATTTGCCATACATAGATTAAATATGGAGTTGCCATCTATGATACTCTCTCATCCTTCACACGTGTTGTTCCTTTAGGAAGATGGAGCAAAAAAGATAGAGTTGAAGCCGGGATTTCTCATGGAGCATGATGAGGATGTAAGATACTAAGATCCTCCAAACTTTTTTAGCCATCAAAAGTTGTTATTGGTAATTCTGTATGCATTAACTTACCTCGTTTCTAAGTAGCGTGCCTTTTTCTTTGGTCCTCATCTAAGAAGTGTCTTCATTATTAGGTTGGAGCTGTTGTTGTTGGGTTCGATCGCTACTTCAACTACTATAAGATTCAGTAAGATATCAAAAACTAACACAAGCACATATGATATGACGTTCATTTTTACACTCAAGTTAGAGACTTGACTACTGCGTTTTGATTCCATTTCCATAGAAAGGACTATAGGAAATAGATTCCTTTTCCTTATAAAAGGGAGGCATTTTTGTGTCTGGACCGATTATATATGTACGAGAACCTTTTTCTCTGCAAACAAAATGTAGTTTGTAACAATATGTGATACAGGACATTTGTAACTGTGTGAGTTTCTTATATTACTTGCTGCTAGTAGTCAGGAGCAACAATCAATAATCACCTTATTGATTAACAAGTTGGGACTTAGGAGCAGCATAGTGTTTGGTTGGGTTTTTTTGGGAGGAGACGGAAGTGGGTGTGTTTGGTTGGAAAAATTGGAGAAAGCACCTGTTTGGCTGAAAATCCAAAATTCTTATTGATCACCTGCCTCTGAAGCATACATTGGAGTTAAAGCAGGTGGCCCAAGAATTTCAAGTGGATTAACAAGTTGTATGGGCTCAGTTGTGAGATTGTGTATAGAAGAGGCGGAGATAATCCTTTTGTAGATGCTCTTTCTGGGAAGGAGCTTTATCTGAAGATAATTTCAATGCTGCAAACTGTTCCAGATAGCCACCTTAGTTCACATGGCAGCAAGGATCGCTGAAAAGAAATGGGAAGAATTTGGTGAGCGAAGATGAAGCTTTGTGAAGAGTTGGCAGTGCTTTTTTATTGGAAATGAATGGCGTCGGATGTTAAGAGGAATGTGCAAAGCTGTGATATTTGTCAGCCATTTTTTATTGGAAACGAATGGCTACAGATGTTATGAGGTATGAGCAAATCTGTGCTCTTTGCTAGCCATGTATTATTGGAAATGAATGGCCAGGGTGGTTAGGAGGTATCTGTGAAGCTGTGATATTTTCTTAGGATACAAAAATTAGAAAGTAGCTGCACATCGAGTGCTTCAGTGAAACAGGTGTAGTGGATACAGTTAAGAAGACGGCTCATTTTATTGCTCCGTATATTCCTCTGTCAGAGGTAAAAAACAGGGACCCTATCTTCTATGGCATGTTATGGAGGGCACTTTTTAAGGCACACAAAATTAAGTTTTTGTATTCCTCATCCTACGGTCCTCAAACAGATGCCTTGAGTGCTATCTAAGATGTATGGGTGGAATGCAAACTGAGGAGCGAAGTAAATAGTTGCTTTTTGTATAATTATGGTACATCGTAGTCCATTCTTCAATAGGAATGATTTCATGTGAAGCTGTTTATGCCACCCCGTAATCATTCACTGTATCTAAATGGGGCCAGGGATAATGCTGTTGCAGATAGGAGTTTAAGGGATAAGGATGCTACAGGGTAGTTGCTGAGGTATCATTTGAGAGGGCTCAAAACAAAATCCAGCTGGTGGCAAATTAAAAGAACTAAAAGAAGCTTTTAAGAAGGCAATATGGTTTATCAAGTTGCACCCATCCAGAAGAAATACTGTCAACTGTAAATCATTGCATATAAGTTAGCAGCCAAGCATTATGGATCCCAAGGTCTTAAAGGAGGTGGGGTGAGTTTCTTATTGGTTGGAGTTGGCTGCTGAATCATGTGGCCACCCTACATTTATGTAGAAGGACACCGATAGGTCCTAATATGCCTCGACAGTGGGAGATTATGGCTACTTCTCTATGGAACCAGAAGCTATGTCGGAAATGAAGGTTGTGAGGAAGGAAAATGAACCACTGATATAGATGCTTATTGAATGGCAGCACTCTAATCCAGACGATGCTCATTTGAAATCACTGGAAGCTACGTGCCAGCGGTTCCTCGGTTTTAACTCTAATGCACCTCTCATCCTTGACTGCATGGATGCTTCTTTCTTTTTTTTTTGGGGGGGGGGGGTTGTTTGGGGTGGTGTTAGTTTATACAAGACATTTGTGATATGTTTTTCTTACATGAAGGTAAGGAGCATCAGTCACCTTAGGGACCATTATGTGAGTTGGAGTGTTTAACAAAGTATTGTAGAATTGAGCATTGTGCCATTATGCAATGGTAGTACTTAATAGATATTTTTTTATCCTCATAATAAAAGCACTTTCGTCATGATTAAAGGTACGGAACACTTTGCATACGTGAAAATCCTGGATGTCTGTTCATTGCAACAAACCGCGATGCTGTTACTCATCTCACGGATGCTCAAGAATGGGCAGGTTAAACCATCTTTCCTCTTACTGTGTTTACAAATGATATTGCAAATCTTAATTATGCAGCGTCTTGGATTTTCCTTTTAATAACACCAAGCGAAATTCATGTTGACCAAACGGCGAAATAACTGGTTCTGAGCTGGCCAATAGACTACGAGATAGAGAAAGTTTCAAATGATTCAATTGCATGGCATATTTGTTATGTGTCACTTATCATGTTGAGCAGTACTTTTAAGTTTCAGTGTAGACATCATTAAAACTTCCTTATAAATATGAAATTGCCTGATATTTTTCCCCAGAGTTAATAATCTATCTAATGCTCCAATAATTGTATATGATATCTGATTGATTTTAGGTGGGGGATCTATGGTTGGTGCTCTTAGTGGATCTACACAACGTGAGCCGCTGGTGGTTGGAAAGCCCTCCACTTTCATGATGGACTACTTAGCTAACAAGTAAGCTTTTATATTTCCCAATAGGAAAAACCATTTTGGAGGTACTTATATTTTTTTTTTCAATTTTCAATTTGGTACTTTTTCTTAATTAAATCTTTAATTTTGTTTTATTAATATCGTTAACTCTTGCATATAGACTGAAAATACTAATAGAACAAAATTACAAGAGCAAATCTTGCTAAAAAAGAAAAATTAAATGATTTAATTAAGAGGAAAAAAACACATGGGTATCAAATTAAAAATTGAGAGAAGGTATAAGTACCTCAAATATGGTTTTCCCACTTGATGTGTGGATGAAAGAACTTGGCATTTTGCTCAAGAAGTTTGCCCTGAATCTGATCTGATATCCCCAAATGACAGATTTGGAATTCAGAAGTCACAGATTTGCATGGTTGGGGACAGATTAGACACTGATATTTTGTTTGGACAAAATGGTGGCTGCAAAACTCTTCTTGTGCTGTCAGGGGTAACCTCATTGGCCATGCTTCAAAATCCTAACAACAACATACAACCAGACTTCTATACGAACAAAATTTCAGATTTTCTTTCCCTGAAAGCTGCACCTGTATGATCGTTTCATGGAATTGTCTTCTGTTCCATGTGGCAAACGATTTTTTAACAAATATTTATTATCTTCAATTACTTGTTTCCACGTTTTGTTCTAATTTTTAAAATAATAGCATGATAATTATTTGTGTATTCAAAATCATTGTTATATATTTATGTCTCCCTTGAAACCGTGAGTTGGTACTAGCAGATGATAATAAAAGGGTTCAAACTACTAAGGATTCCATGTTGAGTTCTGCATCATATGATAACAATCAGTTATTCATTTGAGGCAATATTGTAACATCCTCGTAGTTGATTCTAGTCTTATATCAGCACCATTTAATTAGTTTCTCCATTGCTCTGAAAATTTCCGATTTTTCCGCCATCGTAGCTTCTATTAGAGGGGATAAAAATCTAGAAGAGAAAAATATGGAGAAGAATCTAAATTATGTGGAAATAGTGGGGAGAGGATGCGATTAAACCCACAGCTTACAACTGTTGATTTTATAGTCTTGGAAATATCCCATGTCCTTAAAAAAATAATATAAAAATAAAAACAAGAATGAAATTATAATGTGATGAGAGATAAAATAAACAGTACTTGTCTCTCTTTTATCAAATTAAAATAGAAAGCTTTGCCGATAATAACAACCATCAGATACTACTTATGTCTGCAACATCTTCGACGGAAAACACGTCAATTTGACAAAATCCGAAGACCAAGTCTACAACATCCTCAATTGAGTTGTTTGCATCCTTAAAATACTTGTGTAAAATCATATAAATATGTGTTACTTCAAATTATCAATAAAACAACCCAACCACACCAGAATATGTCCATAAAGCGTGCTAGTAACCACCAAACATACATTTCTCTTTCACACAATTCAATTTTCAATTTCTCCTCACGCTTCTCTTTTTCCTTATCTGAGACTTCCCTTGTAAGAGGGTGACCCCTAAACAAAGTGAGAGGGTGACAAAAGAAGAAGACACAAATCCTGAAACAAGAGAGAAAAAGAAGAAGAATATTCTCAATTATAATGATAACCTGCTAATCACTCCATTAAAATTATTGGAGATCCTGAGTCATATTTCGCAAAACACAAATCCTGCAAATAGAGTTAGATAAAGTATTAAAAGTTGAAAAAGAACAATGTTAGGTAGGCTTTATTGATTATTTTGATTCTTACATTGCAATTTGCATGTTGCTATAATAATTGTAGTGCATAAATAGTATATATGCATTTCCATTTTTTTTTTTAATCAGAATCTACGATTGAAGACAATCTGCTTTCAAAGAATCAAGAATCACTTCCATCAAGAGAAAAAAGAAACAAAGAAAAATAAATTCACTGAATGAATTCTAACCTCAGAATTTAATATGCCATAACAAAATGCACTTGCAAACCTTTAAGAGGAATCTAAACAAATGCGTCTAAGAATGAGATTCTTCATTTGATGTAGAAAAAGTTCAATTTTCTTAATATCATATAAGTAAAATAATGCTAATTACATTGTAACCCAGTGGCATAAATTTTTTTTTTTACAAGTAGAAAGTTGCAGGTTCGATCTGTTTGTGATTTCAAGCCATTTACCACACACTTTCATGTCCAACACAATCTGATAAACAAATTAAATGATAAACACTTGTTCTTAGTTTGTGAGAAAAATAAAATGCAAAAATAGAAACCCGGTAAGGAGACACAACAATTGGAAAACATTAGGAGAAGTGAGCTTATGCAAGCAAGCTTCAAAAAAATTCCTCAAACCCTAAATTTGTTCAATTTTCTTCCCCTAATTTTAACGCCACTTACAATGTTGACCAATGCATGTTGTAATACAATGCTTTGACCAATGCTAGCTAAGCTATTTAATCATATAATACTCTATTTTTAAAGTATTTCTCCTTATTTCTTCTTCTTTCATCTTTCAAATTCCTTCAAGAGTACCTATGAACCACTTTAACTAGTCTCCCTCAATTAAACTTATCTAGAAGTTTAGGAATCTTACATTAAAGCCTAGTTTAATTAGAATGAGATTGTTCAGGTATAAAAAAAAATAGCTTAGTGTGTAAAAGACAATCTCACTTGCTTTATTAGTTTCTTTTTTTTGGGTTCAAAATAGATTTTCGAATCCTTATTTATATAAACACCGTTCACGAGGAAAATGCAAAAATAGAAGCCTAATAGAGAGATAAAACAATGAGAGAGAGAGATTACTTGCCTAAAGAATAAAGAAGGGAATTCAGATTATATCCTCTCTATAAGTGTTGGATGTGTACCTTCATCAAGCTCCATTTTTTTAAAAGTGAGGCGGTGGTTGTTGCTCTTCAACATCGGGAGGCCTCTTCCTTTTCCTCCCTATTTCCATTTGCTCAACAAATTTCAGACATTCTGAGACGGATACTGGCCACACCCCGCATTCTTGGATCATTAACTTGCTTTCGTCGGGGATCATTGGCTCGTTACACCAACGATGTCCAGCAGAGAATTCAAAGCGAAGCTTTATGTTAGTGAACAACTGTTGAATTCTTCTTCTACTTTCATCCACTATCCTTTTACATGCTAAGTCATCATTCCACATAAAAACATGATCAGATTTCACATCTGGTAAAAACACTTCATGTTTTGAAACTGCCGCATCAAAACCTTCCAAGTAGCATGTGCACATCAAATATTGAATTCGACAATTAATTTCTGAGCGAACTTTAAGTACAACGCAGAAGAAGAAATCCGTTAAGTCTGAAATCTGAGAGAGTTCAACAGTTACGGAGCTTTGTGCTGCCCTGTATTTGATCCACTCTGTTACTCTGCTTCCGGAAACACAAATCGAACAACAATCCCTGTAATTCTCATTTTTATGCAAGACACAATAAGTCATAGAATAGGCAGCAGCCTCCATGATATTATGAAGCGATTGCTCACTCAGTTGCACACAATTCTTGAATAAGAACCCTATTGGGCCACCACTTGATGTTCTCCAACTTGACACAATTTCCAACGACTTGCAATCATGGGCATCTAGCTTTGCAATGGATGGCGGCAATTCTGGTAAAGAACGAAGCCTCCTGCAATCCCATATGCTAAGAAATTTCAATCCTAAAAGATGCTTAGTATTATTGGGGAGTCCAATTATGTTACCGCACCGATCCAGGACCACTTGTCTTAAAGACAACATGCTATCAAATAAGAGATGTAGCTTCAAATCATCAATGATTTTACAATCGAAAAGCCCAAGAAACGTCAAACTTGTCAAGCACGGTAATTGGTTGGGAAGGTTCACAAGTCTACCAAGAGAGAGCATTTCCAATCTTCTTGAATGCCATACAGAGGGGTGCAAGATTTCGATTCCTGTGTTAACTAAATCCAATTCTCTCAGTTCATCAGATGACACCGAGAACTCCTTGAGATTCTTGCACTCAATCACATTAATATGTCGCAGAGATCTTAAAAGTAATTCACTTTTTAGACCCTTAAGTTTCGTGCATCCAAATAAGTTCAACACAACAATTGAGTGGAGAGACAAGATCGAGGAATGAATAAAGCACAAACTTTCGCACTGCCTCAGTTGTACCACTTTGAGATTCAAGCATTTGGAGAGATTGGGCAGCTCTTGTAGTTGTTTGGAACCACTAAGGTCTATTTCTTTTAAGCTCACAAAATCCTATACCAACAAAATAGACAATTCAAATGAGATCACCACCAAGTTTCAATTGAATGAAAAATATGAAACACAAACAAGGTTATATACATACACACACTCCGTTCCAAAGCTTTTGTAGATGGCTATTGGGCATGCAGAGCTTAACAAGTTTTTCAGGACAAAGAGTGGACGGCAGAGATTTAAGTGGGAATCCACACCACTCTAGATACCTCATCTTATTAGAAAGAAATTTGAGACCTTCTGGAAGGTGCACATGACTTGAGCCACTGTCAGAATAAAGTTTGAGAAATCTCATATTAGGCATCTTCTTGAAAATGTCCGCTTCCAAATATAGATCTCTAATTTGAGAGACATCCAACTTTATTCCTTCAACTCTCTTCGATCCCTTAAAAAAGAGAATAAAGAAACCATAGTAAGTAAATTATATCATAATTACATTCACATTATTCATAAAGTAACAAGTATATAGGTTAGAAAAAGAAAGTATGAATTTCTTACCATGTTATTAGCTAAAATATCGTAAATTTCTTCAAAATTACATAATCTGCTACGTCTTTCAGGTTCATCAATAGACTCTTCACGAACAATTTGTAAACCCATTTCTTGTATCAAATCATGCATTTTTACACATAAACCATAGACTTCTATGAGAGCCTTGTCATGAAGTGTTCTTATACCAATATCTCCATCGAAGCCAAAGCTATCTAATAAGCTAATTACAGATTTGGTCAACTCTCCCTTAAAAAAGCAAGCAATGTCTAGAAATATTTTCTTCTCTTCATGATTCAGTCCGTCATAACTCAATCTCAACACCTTTTGAATATCTTCATGAGGACTCTTCTTAAGTTTTTTTAAGGCACTATTCCATTCAACTTCACTTCTACCACGAAGATATGAACCCAGAATTTTTGAAGCCAATGGAATTCCTTTTGCATAAACAACTGCCCTTCTTGTTAGTTCTTCATATCCCATTATAGGCAAGCTTTTGTTGAAGGCATTCAAGCTGAAAAGTTCAAGGCATTGGTGGAACTGCAATTCCTTAACCTTATATATTGCATCAACTCCTTTGCTAAGCACATGCTTGTCCCTTGTTGTGATGAGAACTTTACTTCCTAGCCCAAAGGAAAAAGGCTCTCCAACCAAACATTCTAATTGCTCCACCGTACTAATATCATCAAGAACAACAAAAACTTTCATACGACTTAGCCTAGACTCAATAAAAGTGGTTGAAGTATCAATAGAGAGATCTTCCTTTAGGAGACGGGAGAGAAATTTATGGCGTAATTCAGTAAGTCCGTTTCTAGACTTTTCTCTTACGTTTTCCAAGAAGCAGGAACCTTCATAATGGAAAGAATATTTTAAAAATATAGTTTTGGCAATGGTTGATTTGCCGATGCCTCCCATACCCCATATTCCAATGGTTTTAGTGTCTCTCAACAATAATTCAATCTTTTTGCAGTTGTCATCGATACCTACGAGTCCTTTTAGTTCAGTAGGGGGGTACTTGTGATTCAATTTCTGCAATATCCCTTTGACTATATTTTGAATCAATTCAGATTCATCCCTAAATTAAAATACAAAAAATAAAAGGCCAAAAAGGAAAAGCAATATTAAGCGGAAAAAAAGATTTATGAAAGACAAAAGATAAGTGATAAATAAACGAAGGATAAATTGAATAGTGTGTGTGTGTCCCAGGAACACATCAAACTAGTTATCAGAAAATTGACTAGAATGTCTTGATCATTTGATCCATCACGTAACTCACTGCCAACGCCATCATTTGTGAACAGGAAAAAAATAATCAATTTGTTAATTACCTGAACGTGTGAGAGTCATGACCCGCTAAGTTTGCAGCTTCATTAAGAGCTTGCTTCCACATGTCCATCTTGTGTTGGTCAACCTTGAGATCACTCTCAAATGCTTGCTTGTAAACCCCAGTCTGATTGCGTACATGAGATGGCTCAACTTTATAGAAGACAGGAACAACAGTCTGTCCTTGAACCCTTCTGCAATGGAGTATATGGGTGAGCTCATCCAAGCACCATCTTGAAGAAGCATAATTTTTAGAGAACACCACCACAGACACATACGAATCCTCGATAGCTTGCAGAAGTGATGGTGCGATCTCATCTCCTTTGTCGAGTTGGTAGTCTATGTAGGTTCTGATGTGTTTTCTGCAAAAAGCATCATAAAGATGGCTAGTGAAGTTGGAGCGAGTGTCCTCACCCCTGAAGCTGATGAAAACATCATTCTTCTTGGGGAGGGATTGAGCAGAAGAAGGGGATGAAGCAGCTTCAAAGGCCATGTCTATGCGACCGAGCAGCAGGGAGAGCGCTGTGTTTTATCGAGAACTTTGAAAATAAATCAGAGATAAGTATCAGAAGCTGCAGATAATTAGTGGAAAGAAGAAAGAGGCCACACGGTTCTGTTTTGATAGGCCTAGCAATTTCCTTGAAGGATGGGATTGATTCTTCATGTAAAGTCTGCCACTTTATGACTTCAGTCAAAAAGTGACACGTTAATTGAAGGGAAAATTTTGTTTAAGGACTGCCATGCGCAAAAAGGGCCCACTCTATTACACTAAATATGACATACGTAACATATATACTAGCTCGTCTTCTTAATATAAAAATTAGTTAACTAATTTAAATAGATTAGAAAAATTTGTTAAGTTAATTATTTAGATATTATCTTTACAAAAATATTTTTACTAATCATATATTAGTTAAAACTACTATTTAATTGAACATTTGACATGTGCAATTATTATAAAGACTACTTTAAAAAAATAGATAAATATAAAAGACAAAGTAAATTGAGATCTTATTTTTAAAAATAAATTAAAAGTCAAACTAATTCTTATATTAATGACCGGAGGTAGTATAACAATATTTTCAAATAGTTCAAAATGCACTGTGTAACTAGCACACGCAATATTCAATTCTCCTCATGCTTCTTTGTTTCCTTATTCGAGGCTCCACCAGTAAAAAGTGATACCTGAACAAAGGAACAATGATGCAACACACACTTCTTCTGATGCAAACAGAGAAGAGTCTGGAGAATGGTTATAGAAATAGAGATCAGAGGACGAGATAGTAAGAAACAGATTAGATTATACATCAATTTATAAATGTATAAATGAGAACAATCTAGAAAAAACGATAAATATAAATATTTTAAAGTAATTTAATAACTTTCCTAATATTTTTAAATTAGTTAATTTGATCTTCTATTAAGAGCTAAACGTAGTACTTTGTTTGGACAAAATGGTGGCTGCAAAACTCTTCTCAAGTGTCAGGGGTAACCTTTTTGGCCATGCTTCTGAATCCCAACAACACAAATACAACCAGATTTTTGTTCCAACAAAATTCCTATTAAACCTGGGCGGTCAAATATAAGCCTCAACGGTGAATTCAAAGCAAAGCTTTATGTTCAAGCTGTTTTTTTTTTTTTTTGGGGGGGGGGGAGAGGGGAGCTTTATGTCAGTGAGCTGCTGTTGATTCCTTCTTGTAATTTCCTATATTCCAAGTAGCTTGCTCATTTCAATACCATCTACAAAGTCAGATTGAAACTGTAATATGATGAGAGATAAAATAAACATTATATATATCTCTTTTTTATTATCAAATTAAAATAGAAAGCTTTGCTAATAATAATAACCATAAGATACTGTTTATGTCTGCAACATTTTCAATTCAGAACACTCTTTCTATCAAATGAAAACACTCTGGGAACCTGACAAAATCCGGAGACCAACTCTCGAACATCCTCAATTGAGTTGTTTGAATCCTTAAGATACCTGTGTAAAATCAGAAAAATGTGGTACTTCAAATTATCAATAAAACAACCCAACCACACAAGATTATGTCTATAAAGCATGCCAGTACCAGCACATATACATTACTCTTTTCACACAATTCAAAATACTTTTTATAACCAGCAAAAGCCATATTCAATTCTCAGTTACTCCTTATTCTTCTCTTTTCCTTTCTCTAACTGACACTTCACCTGTAAGAGTGTGACCCCTCAATAAAGTGAGAGGATGATAGAAGAAGAAGATTAACATTCTCAATTATAATGATAAGCCACTAATCATCACTCCATTAAAATTTAATATGCGATAACAAATTGCACGTGCAAACCTTTAAGAGGAATCTGAACAAGGCGCTTCTAAGAATGAGATTCTTCATTTGATGTAAAAAAGTTCAATTTTCTTAATACCATATAAGTAAAATAACATGAATTACATTGTAACCTAGTGGCATAAATATTTTTTTACAAGTAGGAGGTTGTAGGTTCCATCTGCTTGTGATTTCAAACCCTTTAGCACGCACTTTCATGTCTAACCCAATAGGCAAAACAAATTAAATGATAAACACTTGTTCTTAATTTATGTGAAAAATAAAATGTAAAAATAGAAACCCGGTAAAGGGACACAACAATTGGAAAACATCTGAAGAAGTGAGCTTATGCAAGAAAGCTTCAAAAAATTTCCTCAAACCCTAAATTATGTTCAATTTTCTTCCCCTGATTTTAATGCCACTGACAATGTTGACCGATATCAGTTGTAAGACAATGCTCTGATCAATGCTAGCTAAGCTATTTAATTATATATTTTATTTTTAACCTATTTCTCCTTATTTCTTCTTCTTTCATCTTTTAAATTCCTTCAAAAATACCAATGAACCATCTTAACTAGTCTCCCTCAATTAAACTTATCTACAAATTTCAGGAATCTTACATTAAAGCCTAGTTTAATTAGTATTAGATTGTTCAAGTGTAAAAAAAAAAGAAAAAAGAAAAAAGCTTACACTATAAAAGACAATCTCACTTGGTTTATTAGTTTTTTTTTTTCCGGAAAATAAATTTTCATATCCTTCTTTATATAAACACCATTCACGAGGAAAATGCAAAAATAGAAGCCTAATAGAGAGATAAAACAACGAGAGAGAGAGATTACTTGCCTCAAGAATAAAGAAGTGAGTTCAGATTATATCCACTCTCTAGGTGTTGGCATGCGTACCCCCATCAAACTTGATTTCTTTTTAAGTGAGGCGGTGGTTGTTGGTCTTCAACATTGTGAGGCCTCTTCCTTTACCTCTCTATTTCCATTTGCTCAACAAATTTCTGACATTCTGAGACAGATACTGGCCACACCCCGCATTCTTTGATCATTAACTTGCTTGTTTCTCGTTTGCTAGGGATCATTGCATGGTTATACGCAGAGAATTCGAAGCGAAGCTTTACGTTAGCGAAAGACTGTTGATTTCTGCTTCGAATTTCATCCACAATCATTTGACTTGCTGAGTCATCAGTCCATATAAAAACATCATCAGATTTCATATCTGGAAGAACCGTGCCATGTGTTGAATCTGCCGCTTTAAAACCTTCCAAGTAGCATGTGCACCCAAAAGCTTGACTTCCACCGTTAATTTCTGAATGAACATCAACTACAATGCAGAAGAAGAAACTCGTCAGGTCTGAAATTTGAGGGAGTTCAATAGTTACGGAGCTTTGTGCTGCCCTGTATTTGATCCACTCTGGTACTTTGCTTCCGGTAACACAAATCGTATAACGATGGATGGAGTTATATTTATGAATCGAACAATCACCCATGTACTTATATTTATGCAATAAACAATAAGGTATAGAATAAGCAGCAGCCTCCATGATATTGTGAAGCGATTGTTCAATCAGTTGCACACAGTTATTGAATCTGAAGTACATTTGATCACCACTTGATCTCCAAGTTGACACAATTTCCAACGACTTGCAATCATCGGCAATTAGGGTTGCAATGGATGGTGGTAGTTCTGGTAAAGAACGAAGCCTCCTACAACCCATTACGTCAAGAGATCTCAATCCTAAAAGATGCTTAGTGTTACTGGGGAGGTCAATTATGTTACCGCACCTCTTCAGCGTCACTTCTCTCAAAGACAACATGCCATCGAAAAAGATATGTAGCTTCAAATCATCAATGATTTCACAGTCGTAAAGCCTAAGAGCATTCAAACTTGTCAAGCAGGATAATTGGTCGGGAAGGTTCACAAGTCTTAAGCCTCTAAGACCGATACTTTTCGAGTTACTTGAACGCGCTACAGACGAGTGCAAGATTTCAATTCCTGTTTCGTCTAATTCCAAGTCTCTCAGTTCATCCGATGACACTGAGAACTCCTTGAGATTCCAGCACCTGAACACATCGATATATTCTAGAGATCTTAAATGTAACTCACTTTTTAGACTCTCAAGTTTCTTGCAGTCGCGTAAGTTCAACTCAACAAGCGAGTAGAGGGACAAGATTGAGGAATGAAGAGAGCACAAACTTTCGCATTGCTCAAGTTCCACCACTTTGAGATTCAAGCATTTGGAGAGATTAGGCAGCTCTTGTAGTTGTTTGGAACCACTAAGGTCTATCTCTTGTAAGCTCACAAAATCCTATACCAGCAAAGAGAGACAGTTCAAATGAGGACACCGAGACGTTTCAACTGAATGAAAAACATGAAACACAAATAAGGTTATACATACATGAACTCCGTTCCAAAGCTTTTGTAGATGGCTATCGCGCATGCGGAGCTCAACAAGTTTTTCGGGACAAAAAGTGGACGGCAGAGATTTAAGGGGGAATCCATACCACTCTAGATACCTCAACTTATTAGGAAGAAATTTGAGACCTTCTGGAAGGTGCACATGACTTGAGGAAGTGTGGAAAGGAGAATAACTATTAGAATAAAATTTGAGATATCTTATATTAGGCATCTTCTTGAAAATGTCAGCTTCCAAATGTACATCTTTAATTTGAGAAACATCCAACATTATTCCTTCAACTTTCTTTGATCCCTTAAAAAAGAGAGTAAAGAAAACATAGGAAGTAAATTATATAGTAATACATTCACATTATTCATAAAGTAACAAGTATATAGGTTAGAAAAGAAAGTATGAATTTCTTACCATGTTATTAGCCAAAACATCATAAATTTCTTCAAAATTGTATAATCTACTACGTCTTCCAGGTTCATCAATACACTCTTCACGGACTATTTGCAAACCCATTTGTTGTATTAAATCATGCATTTCAACACGTGAACCATCACAGACGTCTATGAGAGCTTTGTCATGAAGCGTTCTTACCCCAATTGCTCCACAGAAGCCAAAGCTATCTAATAAACTGATTACAAATTCTGTCAGCTGTCCCACCAAAAAGCAAGCAATGTCTAGAAATATTGCCTTCTCCTCCTCATCCAATCCATCATAACTCAACCTTAACACCTTTTGAATATCTTGATGAGGACTCTTCTCAAGTTTCCTTAAAGCACTCTTCCATTCAATTTCACTTCTACCACGAAGATATGAACCCAAAACTTTTAAAGCCAACGGAATTCCTTGTGCGTAAACAACTGCCGTTTTTGTTAGTTCTTCATACCCCATTATGGGTAGGCTAGTGCTGAAGGCATTCAAGCTGAAAAGTTCGAGGGATTGATGGAACTCCAATTCCTTAACCTTATATATTATGTCAACTCCTTTGCTAAGCACGTGCTTGTCTCTTGTTGTGATGAGAATTTTACTTCCTGGCCCAAGCAAAAAGGTTCTCCAACCAAGTCTTCTAATTGCCCCTCCGTACTGATATCATCAAGAACAACAAAACCTTCATACGACTAAGCCTCGACTCAAGAAAAGAGGTTGAAGTATCAATAAGGGAATCATCCCTTAGTAGACGAGAGAGAAATTTACGGCGTAATTCAGTAAGTCCATTTTTAGACTTTGCTCTTATATTTTCCAAGAACCAAGAATAATCATAATGGGAAGAATATTTTAAAAATATAGTTTTGGCAATGGTTGACTTGCCGATACCCCCCATGCCCCATATTCCAATGGTTTTTGTTTTGGCATCTTTCAACAATAATTCAATCTCTGCGCAGTTGTCCTCAATGCCTATGAGTCTTTTTAGTTCAGCTGTGGGGTACTTGTGATTCAGTTTCTGCAATATGTCTTTGACAATCTTTTGAATCAATTCGGATTCATCCCTGACATAAGAAAAATAAAAGGCCAAAGAGGAAAAATCGCAATTAAGCTCAGAAATTGATTTATTAAAGACAAATGATAAATGATAAGTGATAAATAAACAGAGAGTAAATTGTAGAGTGTATAAATATAAATGATAAATGATAAAGACCTAAAAATGTTTACGAAAAATTGAATAGAATGTCTTAATCATTTGATCCATCACGTAAATCTCTGCAAACGCCATCATTTATGAATAGAAGAAAATTAATGAATTTATTAATTACCTGAACGTGTGAGAGTCATACCAGCTAAGTTTGCAGTTTCATTGAGAGCTTGCTTCCACATTTGCATCTTGTGTTGGTCAACCTTGAGATCTCTCTATATCTCTCAAATGCTTGCTGGTAAAGGCCAGTCTGATTGCGTACATGAGATGGGTCGACTTTATAGAAGACAGGAATGACAATCTGTCCTTGATCTCTTTTGCAATGGAGTATATGGGCGAGTTCATCCAAGCACCATCTTGAAGAAGCATAATTTTCAGAGAACACCACCACTGATACATATGAATCCTCGATAGCTTGCAGAAGTGATGGTGAGATCTCATCTCCTTTCACGAGCTGGTAGTCTATGTAGGTTGTGATTTGTTTTCTG